CCAGATGAATTCACAGCTGAATTCTATCAGAGACAAAACACAGTTGGTACCATTCCTTCTGAAACTATTCCAAACAATAGAAAAAGAGGGACTCCTCCCTAACTCATTTTATGTGGTCAAAACCTGGCAGGGACACAACAAAAAAGGAAAATTTCAGGCCAATATCCCTGAAAAACATTGAAACATTGCAAAAATACTCAATAAAATTCTGGCAAATCAAAGCCAGAAGCACATCAAAAAGCTTATCCACCATGACTGAGTCAGCTTCATCCCTGGGATGCAAGCTGGTTCAACATATGCAAATCAATAAATGTAATCTATCACACAAACAGAACAAATGACAAAAACCACATTATTATCTCAAAAGATGCAGAAAAGGCTTTTGATAAAATTCAACACCCTTCATGATAAAAACACTCAATAAACTAGGTGTTGATGAATCATATCTAAAAATAATAAGACCTATTTATGACAAACCCACAGCCAATATCATACTGAATGGGCAAAAGCTGGAAGCATTCCCTTTTGAAAACTGGCACAAGACAAGGATGCCCTCTCTCACCTATTCAACATAGTATTGGAAGTTCTGGCCAGGGCAATCAGGCAAGAGAAAGAAATAAAGGTATTCAAACAGGAAGAGAGTAAGTCAAATTGTCTCTGTTTGCAGATGACATGATTGTATATTTAAACAACCCCATCATCTCAGCCCCCAAACTCCTTAAGCTTATAAGCAACTTCAGCAAAGTTTCAGGATACAAAATCAATGTGTAAAAATTACAAGCATTCCTATACACCAATAATAGACAAAGAGCCAAATCATGAGTGAACTCCCATTCACAATTGCTACAAAGAGAATAAAATACCTAGGAATACAACTTACAAGGGATGTGTAGGACCTCTTCAAGGAGAACTACAAACCACTGCTGAAGGAAATAAGAGAGGACACAAACAAATGGAAAAACATTCCATGCTCATGGATAGGGAGAATCAACACTGTAAAAATGGCCATACTTCCCAAAGTAATTCATAGATCCAATGCTGTTCCCATCAAGCTACCACTGACGTTCTTCACAGAATTATAAAAAAAACTACTTTAAATTTCATATGGAACCAAAAAAGAGCCCATATAGCCAAAACAATAATCAGCAAAAAGAACAAAGCTGGAGACATCACAGTACTTGACTTCAAACTATACTACAAGCCTACAGTAAACAAAACAGCATGGCACTGGTACCAAAACAGACGTATAGACCAATGAAACAGAACAGAGGCCGCAGAAATAACACCACAAATCTACAACCATCTTATCTTTGACAAATCTGACAAAAACAAGCAATGGGGAAAGGGTTTCCTATTTAACAAATGGTGTTGGGAAAACTGACCAGCCATATGCAGAAACTGAAACTGAACCCCTTCCTTACACCTTATACAAAAATTAACTCAAGATAGATTAAAGACTTAGCCATAAGACTGAAAACCATAAGAAGCCTAGAAGAAAACCTAGGGAATACCATTTAGGATGGAGGCATGGGCAAAGTCTTCATGACTAAAACACCAAAAGCAATTGCAACAAAAGCCAGAATTGACAAATGAGATCTAATTAAGCTAAAGAGCTTCTTCTGCACAGCAAAAGAAGCAATTATCAGAGTGAACAGGCAGCCTATAGAATGGGAGAAAAATTTTGGGATCTATCCACCTGACAAAGGGCTAATATCCAGAACCTACAAGGAATTTAAACAAATTTATAAGAAAAAAACCAAACAACTCCATCAAAAAGTGGGTGAAAGACATAAACAGACACTTCTCAAAAGAAGACATTTATCTGGCCAACAAACATGAAAAAAAGCTCATCATCACTGAGATTAGAAAAATTTAAATCAAAAACAAGATGAGATACTATCACGTGTCAGTTAGAATAGTGATCATTAAAAAGTCAGGAAACTGCAGATGCTGGAGAGGATGTGAAGAAATGGGAACACTTTTACACTGTTGGTGTAAGTATAAACTAGTTCAACCATTGTGGAAGACAGTGTGGCAATTCCTCAAGGATCTAGAACCAGAAATATCATTTGACCCAGCAATTCCATTATTGTGTATGTACTCAAAGGATTATGAATTATTCTACTATAAAGACACATGCACACATATGTTTATTACAGTACTATTTACAATAGCAAAGACTTGGAACCAACTCGAATGCCCATTAATAATAGACTGAATAAAGAAAATGTGGCACGTATACACCATGGAATACTATGCAACCATAAAAAATGAATTCATGTCGTTTGCAGGGACATGGATGAAACTGGAAGCCACCCTTCTCAGCGAACTTACACAGGAACAGAAAGCCAAACACCACATGTTCTCACTCAGAAGTGGGAGTTGAACAATGAGAACACATGAACACAGGGAAGAGAACATCTCACACTGGGGTCTGTTGGTGGGTTGGGGGCAAGGGGAGGGAGATCATTAGGACAAATACCTAATGTAGATGATGGGTTGATGGATGCAGAAAAGTACCATGGCACATGTATACCTATGTAACAAACCTGCACATTCTGCACATGTATCCCAGAACTTAAAGTATAATAATAATATAATAATAAATACCTTTTCCAAAAGAAAGAGAAAAAAATAACTATTTAGAAGTCAAGATTTTGTTTTCACAAGGTGGGGATCCATTTCCTGTCCATCACTCAGGATCATTCCTGATCAAGGCACCCCATTTATTGGATACCAAATCACAGGCAAGTAATGGGTCTACTCTAGGTCACTGCTGAAAAGGAAACCTCTAAAAAAAAATGAGACAAAGCTCTTGAAGCTGCCCCCACTTTCTAAGGACAGGCAGGGAGCTGGATGAAACAACTGCAGAGCTTGGATGTCAAAAGACTGATTTTATTTATTCCCACTGAGCCACTGAGGTGTTTCAGGTTTGGAGTAAATCCAAAGTAAAATCAAGGCCATTTTTTGATGAAAACACAAAAATGAAAAGTCACTTGCTGATCATGCCCTTTAAATTCCTGCCAGAGTTATGAAATTATTATTACTACAGAAACAATCATCAAACCACGTCAGACAAAAATCTCTGAGGTCAAGAATATTCCAAATTTATTCTATTGATACATTTTTTAAAACCTCATATCTTCCACATGTGCAGGCATTCTTGGAAACCATCCCTGGGGTAACATGTCTGTACTTGCAAGCAGTGGAAAAGTTAGAAGACTATTTGGAGAAACATCCAGACTCAGAGTCATTTTCCAGCATTCTCCCAATCTGCTCCCACATACACAAATTTTTTTTTCTTTTTATTTGTGTGTGAGATGGAGGATCTGCTTTTGCCCAGGTTAGAGTGCAGTGGCATGATCTCTGCCCACTGCAACCTGTGTTCAAGCAATTCTTGTGCTTCAGCTTCCTGAGTAGCTGAGACTACTGGCACGTGCCACCATGCCTGGCTAATTTGTTGTATTTTTAGTAGAGACAGGGTTTCAACATGTTGGCCAGACTGGTCTTGAACTCCTGACTCAAATAATCTGTCTGCCTCAGCCTCCCAAAATGCTGGGATTGCAAGCATGAGCCACCATGCCCGGCCCCATTTTCTAATAATAAAAAATATTAACTTTTACTCACTGAGTACCCATAGTGATCTAATCATTCTATGCACTTTAGATAAATGAACTCATTTAATTCACACACAATTTCCTAAAGTACACGTGATTGGTATCCTGCTCTAACCCAGCAGAGAGTGGTTCAGTAAATTGTCCACGGTATCACAGCTAGTCAGTCACAGAGCCATCATGCAAATGCAGACATCGTGGATTCAGACTCTACATTAGACCAACCCCCCTGGAATAGAGCAGGAAAGAACAGGGAAGACCCAAGCTTTTTGGCCTCTGTTTGGTAATTATAGACCAAGTATCCTGGATGGGCACTCAGAGACCTTGTAGGACAGCAAGAGCCCTCTCTAATCCTGTGCCCCTGGCAGACATCACCAGTCAACCACAACGCAGTATTTGACTAACCAAAGGCAAGTACTCAGTCTTTAACACTCTGTCTGTGCTACCACACCAATCAATCAATTTGATATGAGACTGTGAAGGAAAAACCAGGAAACAGGTTAACAGTACCTCCACACCAGTATTCAAGGCTGTAATCCACTGCAGTGACTCCATTAAAGACTTTGCCTCCCTTATTCCCTCTCCAACTAGTAGGCCTAGAGTTATAAACAAGGGGCTATGTATGGGTTCTTGTGCCCCCTTTCTCTTTGATATTTTTAGCCATCAGATACCTTGTCTGCAACGTGTGCTCATAGAGTGAGAGGGTAACTAGATGAGTGGTTTTCCAAATGTGTTCCCTGGATACCTGGGGTATAAAAACACAGGAGGCTGCCTATTCTGTTTCAAACAAACCCACTTCACTATGGTGTATTTGATGAGTTGGAGTTTAATTCCATTCGGAAAAGGGCTTTAGCAGCTAAGCAAATGGTTTAAAAGTGTCCCAGAAGTCAAGATTAATAGAAACTATCCAGTTCTGATGTCCCATCATGCTAAAATTGCAGGGCACTAAGATTTTATGATCACTGTCTTAAAACAGCAGCAAAGCTGTAATGTGTGGTCCTTCCTGGTTCACATAGATGCAACCATGTGCAGGGCTAATGAGCTCTTCTTGCATCTGGATGGGAGCCTAATGGAAGTTTTAGGGCCCCTTCCTGGCCTCCAAAATCCTCAAGACCACCATGTGAGCACAGGAATCAAGGGAGATTCTTAGATCAACTCATCCTCAAGGCCCTTGGTTTCCTTGCTTCTTTCCCCTACTACAGATGTTTGATTGCATTTCATAATCACATATTTCCCTCCTTTCTCACAGCAAGATCCAGATAAATAAAAAAATAGACCAAGTTCCTCCCACTAGCTTGCCTCTCTTCTGTTCTGCTTGAATTCCTAAGATCTGGAATTTGTTCAGCAATTCAGGACCCCCCTTTATCATGACCCTGCGTATGCAAAGGCTTCCATGGAAGTTCTCACACCCTCTGCTCCCTATAAAAGGCAGGCAGAAGAGCCAGAGGAGCAGAGGGATTGAGATCAACCCAGAAACCACCACCTCTCACACCAGAGCTCACACCCTCAGCCTCCAGTATGAAGTTCTCCGCAACATTTCTGTGGCTGCTGCTCATAGCAGCTGCTTTCAGCCCCGAGGTGCTCGCTCAGCCAGGTAAGCCCCCCACCTCCTTACAGGAAAGGTAACCACCTCCAGAGATACCAGGTCAGCAAGAATCTATAGAGAATCACTGCAAATTCTCCATTTGAAAGATAGGGAAACAGGTTTTGTGAGTGGACAAGAAATGTCACAACCTCACATCCAGTCACTGGAAGAGCCAGAACTAGAAGCCCAGGCCCCCGAGGATGTCCCCACATTCAAGAGGGATGCTAAGTGTATCTATACTCAGCTACCCATACAGTGTTTGGGAATGGGGCACACTAAAGGAAGGCTCTTTCTTGCTGTGGGCATGGTGGGCATTTTTGGAAGTAGGGGAGGTGGGAAATCTATTGATTAGAAGCTCACGTTAACTTGACTCCAGGACAGCTTTCAGAGACAGTGGCTAAGAGAAGAATGAGGTCCCAGGGGGATCTCTTGAGGTGAGATATTTTGACACTGTTTGGGAAAATTATCTAGGGGATTTGTTGTATAACTCATTTTTCCATACTCTGGTGACAAATTTACTGAGTGTGTCAGTCCCACTCAGCCAGTGCATGCCATGGTAACAGTTCTAACTTATCAATGACTTAACAGAATTATCTAAATTAGCAAAAGTTACTTTCTCACTTGTACTACATATCTATAATGTATGGGCTCAGGCTTCTGCATTTGATACTCAGGATTCTAGACTGATGGGAAAGTTGCCCTTGGGAACATTGAGGGATACTGTGATACAGAAAAAGAAAGGTCTCAGGAGTCTTCTATAGGGAATGCACAGTGGCTCAAAAATGACACATGTCACTTTGTCCCCTCTCTTATTGATCAAAACTAATTAATGCCTGAACCAAACAAAAGTGGCCAAGAAATGCAAGTCCACCTTGTGCCTCAAAAGCAGAAGATGGAGAAAATTTGGTGAATAACACCATAACTATCACATGGCCACATAGGTCTTTATAATGACAGAGCTAGTGTTTGTCACATTGACCAAGCTTTTTTCATGCCCTCAACAGTAATGATGAGTCCTTAATGCACAGGGGAGGATGCTGAAGGCACAGGACAGCATCCTCCAGACACTCAGGACTTCAGAGCAGAGAGATTCTACCTCCACCTCTTGCAACTCCTTGCTTTCTCCTAACTTCCCTTACAAAGTCACGCTTGGAAATGTCTATGGACCATCAAGTGGCTCACTTTTTTTCTGTTCTTTTTTTCCCCCAAAATTCAGCTTTCGTCCCAACCTCCTGCTGCTTTACCCTGGCCAATAGGAAGATACCCCTTAAGCGACTGGAGAGCTACAGAAGAATCAGCAGTGGCAGATGTCCCTATAATGCTGTGGTGTAAGTAAACAAAGATCGACCTCCTCTAGACAAAAAATTAATGCCTCGGGCACAGAGTCAAGAACTGTGTCACAGTTACTACGAGTCATAGATTCTGACAGTTTAACTTCTACAGTCCAATTCACATATTTTCACAAATGAATATTCACTCCCAGCTCCCTGCCTGGGAGCTTGTGGAGGTCACATCAAAGTCAAGAGCAAAGATGGCTTTACTAGGCCATCAAGAGCAGCATCTAACCTGGGCGTCTCATCCGTCCTCCCTACCATGGCAACTCTTTCCCCGATGGCAAATGGTCCTGAAATATTTAGGGTCAAACGGGCAGAATTTTCAAGAACAATATTTTCAATTGCATCCTCTATTTCCCACAGCTTCAAGACCAAACTGGGCAAGGATATCTGTGCTGACCCCAAGGCAAAGTGGGTGCAGGATTCCATGAAGTACCTGGACCAAAAATCTTTAACTCCAAAGCCATAAATAATCACCATTTTTGAAACCAAACCAGAGCCTGAGTGTTGGTTGATTTGTTTTCCTTTCTTATAATATGTTATGAGATTATCATCCAAAGGGAATGGGTTTTATTATATGTATCTCTCTATATATATTTAAAGTCTATTGCATTTAATTTATTGAGGCTTTAAAACTTTTCCACGAATATCAGTTATTTTTAAACTGTAAAGCTTTGTGCAGGCCCCTTACCCCCAGGGAGCCCCAGTTGGATCCCCTTGCATGTGTGGGCAGTGTTCCCCATCTCCCCGCTTCCTCCCTGGAATCTTGTAAAGGCCCTGGCAAAGAGCATCAGCATGAAAATTTCATTGTTCTTGTAAACCCAATGTGTGACTCATTAAATGGAAGTAAATGTTGTTTTATGGAGAAATAAAATATGTTCATATTTTATTATAGTCCCCAGTTGTAATTTTTGGTGGGAAATCCACACTGAGCTGAATGGGAGAAAGATAACTGTGGACGGGAGGGGCTTGGTTGTGGGGGTGGGAACTGTGTTCCTGGGAAATGACTTTTTGGCTTAGGTGGTCTTCATTGAAATGCAGGGTGAAACTGACAAACCCCTTCCAGCCCTCTGATTCCCATTTTCAACAGTTATTTCCTATTTTAACAGCCCCATGATATCTCCCTCCACCCAACCCTACTCCTCCGTCTTCCAACCAGACTAGGCAGACATGACCAACATTGGGAAAATCAGAGGAAAGCTAAATGACCCTTGACCAGAGGTTTAGGTGAAGGATTTACAGGTGAGGTGGAGCTTAAAGTAGGTCTTGGTGCATGCACAAAGTGGAGAGGCTCTGCTGGAGGTATTTCAGTCTAGGTAGAAGAGAAGAGGTGTTGCTTGAGCTAAATCCAAGAAGTAGGAATGATCATGGTGTGTTTACCCAGTTGGGTGGGAGCTCATCAAAAGGTGTCAGTGTTGGAGTCTGTGTGAAATGGTGGGGAAATTTGGAAAGAAGTCTGAGGCCAGCCTGTCTAGGAGCAGAATTTGTGCTCCATGTAAGGTGAACATTCTTACCAGTCAAGTTCGGATGCTTTTGAGAGAAAAAAGTGGTATTATCTGTTATTATTCTGGAAGAACAGATATAAATTAACCCTGTCCTAAGCCAACTGGAGCATGTGGTCACTCTAGGAATAGCAGGCATTGCAAGTTTTAGTTCAGTGGCAAGAAGAGCCATGACCACACTATGAAGGGCTTCAGGAAGAGCAGCCAGGTGCCCATGGGCTGGATCGGGAAGAGAAGGGAGAAGAACTTTACTCACTATTGCAGTGTATGGGGGTTATGGAACTGGGCATTGGTAGATGGAGCGGGTGGGGGAGAAGGTAATTGCAAGAATGACTGAGGCAGGGTGGAACGCCAAATACTGTGGATAGAGACGTAGAACCAGTGACATGGACACTTTCTAAATGCCACAAAGCTGTAATTAAAGGTTAGCTTCTTAGACTCAGAAAATTAACTTCTCTCTATCACTCTTTACTCACACCTTAACTTTACCAGCCTGAGAACTTCCAATCAAATGGACAGGACCTCATCTTTATGTATAAGCAGCTTAAATCAGAATTCCCTTTCAGCATACAAAATCAGCCTGCATTTCCATTGGTCATGTTACTCATGTGCCTGAACACAGAGACCAACTATGTCCCCAAGGGAAAAAATGGGTCACAGGTACCCTGCTGGTGTAACTCTGTGTGGTCTAAGGCCATTGATCTGGAGGGCCAATGGCCTGCTGTGTCATGCATGCCCAGCAGGGCCACTGCATGCAAAGCTCCCGGGGCACCATCCATAAGACAGCCCCCCTTGGACCACTATGTGTGGTGGCCATGGCACAAGGCAATATGAAAAACAGAGTAAGACATTAGGAAGGGCACTGATCTAGGAGGCAGAAGACCTCAGTTTCATCTCAGACAAAGAACTGCTCTATGTCACTGTTACTTTGGGCTTTAGTTACCCCATTCATAATAAGGGTATATTAATATCTTTTAAAGGATCTGACCAATGACCCACCAAGCTCTCCTATTCTGAGAGTACTACCTCTTGGAAAGCATCACTAGCTCCACCCATTGGGGGAGGGAATGTTGTCAGAAGATTCTATACTCATAAGCCCAAGTCAGACAGGGGCCAGGGTAACTGGTATAATTTCTCTATTTCTGTAAGAGTTCTCTATGAGAGCCTCAAGTACAAGCATGGACTCCAGAAACCATCAGAGAGCTTTGTGTATCTACTACAGAAGGGCTCCCACTCTGAGCAATCACTGGTCCTTACTCTGAGTACAACAAACCTCTCTGCCTCTCCTATAGCCTAGCAAACTTCAGTCCTAAACATCAGTCAGGATGTACCTCCAGAGGTCAGTCTGTCCAAGAGGAAGGCACCAGCCATGGGATGGCCCCGGAATAGCTCATTGGGATCAGTAGACCCTCAGGTTTCAGGTCAACTTTAATGAGGAAATCAAGAAGGGGAGTAGAGGGAAGAGGTGCCCTCTGTGAAGGACTGAACAGAATTTGCTCACATCCCCTATGCCAAGTTACTCTGTCCTCTCTCAAGGAATCCTGAACCCAATTTACCTCCAATTGGAATAGCATCACCAGGGTCTGGAGTATAAAACTCTGGGCACGAAGCATTGGAGGTGTTTACCTTTTCTGATGTCACACAGATCACAGCTAGGAATCAGGGATGTCACCAACTGGTTTCTCTGGAAAGTAAACTCTTAGATGAAGATGTTGAAGCAGGGTTGGCTGAGAGTAAGAAGGAGACTTGTTATTGTGATGCAATTGCAGCCCATATCTTGGCAATCCCACAGGGAGCTTTAGAACTGTGATGGCACAAATGAGGTCGAGGGGCCAGACTTTTATACCCCTATCTGAACCAGTCCTGGCTGCTGGCTGCTCCTGGAAGAGGACACAACTCTAGGCAAGGCAGCTGTCTTCAGCTGAGGGCAGGCTCACAGAGGAAATTCAGCTGAGAGACATTGACTGCCAACACTCAGAGCAGCTGGGGAAGAAGCACTTTAGATGCGGAAGGGAAAAATTTGGGCAGCACACTATGAACTCCACCATGATCCACCCCTTGTGCCATTCAAATCCACTTGCTTATATACAAAACTCTAGAAAATGTATCCAGGAATCTGTTGAACCTCATTTCCTTAGGAAAATTACAAGAGGAAGGTGGGCGAACAGTAGCCACCCCCAACAGCTGCAACTAGTCTTGAGGTTAGAAATGATGCTTATCAGCCTGCTTCTAGAACACTCAGCGCGTGCCTCTGCTGATATAGGTGGCTTGCCTTCAGGGTTGACCTTGAATCTCCAAGGGGTTCAGCCCCTGGTCTCCATACTCTTCACAGGACAAGGATATGGCTGCTACTATTGTCCGTTTGCCATTAAAATTGGGTCAGGAGACAGCCAAATGGGTCACCCAGGTGCCAAACATATTATCTACCCCTATTGAGTAGAAGTAGCTCCACACCTTCTGATGATTAAGGTCCATTACCCTGGCCAGGATGGTGACCTCTTCCTCTCCTTGCCTGTTAGTTTCTTGGCCTGCAAGTCTAAAGAGAAAGAGTGCAGCCACAGCTGAGGATTAGTGAGACTCCCTCTAGGAACCAAGGGGTAAGCATTCTTCCTCTGAGAAACAGGATTTCTAAATCCACATAGCCCTGATGTGCACAAATCCCCCAAAGTGGGTCACTGGGAGTGATGGTAAGTAGGGCAACTTTTACTTCCACCTTTGATATCTAGATCTATGAATTTTACCTGTTGAAAATACAGCATCATATATTGGCTGACTTAGGGTGTATATTGAATCCTAGGGGATGCTATTTCTTCCTTGTAGGATATTCTTCCAATTTGGTGTCTTAACTATGCCTTCAGCAAGCCATTCCATTACTCTATCAGCCTGGAAGCCTGTGGATAACACAAGTATACAGTAGGGTCAATGGATCTCATGGTCATACACCCAGTGCTGCTCCTTATTTGCTGTAGCATATCTTTCAGTCTATAGCGATGTTATGTGGCATCTCATGCCAGTAAAGCTGTCAGATAATGGTGCTGGCTAAGGTACTGGAAACAGAAATGGCAAACTTATACCTAGAAAGTGTGTCTAATCTAGTTAAGATGAGTCATTGCTCTTTTCAGAGTAGAATAGGTGCAATGTAATCAAACATGTGCTTTCTACCAAATGGCTGGTTAGTGTCCCTGATGTATGATGCCATAGCTGGGAATGAACAACTGACCTATGTTACTGGAAGGTTGGACATTCAGCTACATCATTCTCGGAGAGCAGGAGCCCTTGTTACAGAGTCCATGTGTAATCTAAACTGCTACCATGATGATTTTGCTCATATTCTCACTGTCTCAGCACTGTGGTGACCAATAACAGAAGCTGGCTGATGCCAGTGGGCTGAGTAATCTTGTCACCTTAGTCATTCTTTTTGTCCACATTCCCTGATGGGATTAGTACCACATCTTTACATACTCTGCCCTGTCTCGTAGGTTCATCCACATGTCTCTCTTCCAGAACCCGTTTCCCCTAGATTTTTTTACCTTTGTCTTTCCAGGTCCCTCACCAATGATGCAGACCATTCAACACCATCTATGAGTCCATACATATTTCAACCTGAGGCCACCTCTCTGTATATACAAGTCGATGATTGGTTTGAGAAAACTGCTTAAACTCTATCCATTGAGAGGATTTCCCCTCACTTCTCCCTTTCAAGGCCATCCCTGAGTTGGCCTGCAAAGCAACCGGCATCTGTTTTTCGTTTGTATCCACATGCTGAGCTGAACCATCTGGAACCATGCTCAGCCTTTTTCTTCCTCAATCAGCTTGTTATAAGTGACACCCAGGCAGTGGCATGTGTGGTGTGTCAAGTGTGTGAAGTGAGTGGCATGTGTGTGAAGTGAGTGAGTGGCATGCAGTATGGATGACATGGGGATCTGAGCCATCTGCTCATATCGTTTACTGTGCAATGCTCCCTGGCACTGATGTGCCCAATCCCAATGCACTGCCTCAATCTTACAATAAATTGCTGCTGGGCACACCTGGCATTATCATTTGGTGGGTTTGACTGAACCCAGCTCACGGTGAGCAAAGTATGCAAAACTCTGGCTACAAAATCATTTGATTTCCCATGGTCAGGCTCCCTGTCTCTGCAAGGGTTCAATAGCACACCAGGAACTTTTTTTTTTTTTTCCAAAACATACAAGTTCTCCTCTTCAGATGGCCTGACGTTGCTCCAAAATCCCAGGTTCTTCTACTAAACCATAGATTTCACAAGGCCCAATGGGACTCTTTTCCCATCCCAGTTAACTCTAATACCATCGGATCTGCCTGGTTTATGACCCAAACCATAGGATCTCTTATGGCACAACCTGAACCCACTGCAGAACCCATTCCTGCT